ATGCAATAGATAAATTTTTTAGCTTATATAACTGTTATTTCATTTCATTTTCAAACGCCTCCTTCAGTTGATTTGCCTAGAGCTTACAATTCTTATGAGATGTCTAGTTCGATTTCTTAGCTTGCAATTCATATATTTTTAGTTCTCCAATTTTTACCAAAATTAATGGCAATAGGAAGATGGGAGTCAAACCGGTGACTATCCTTAAAGATTATTTGAATCCTTACCATCAAGGCACTTGTTAAGTTTGATATTATAACATAGTAATATATATTAAGTTTTGGTAGTTTTAATGCAATTGTAAAAGTTCAAACTCGAGCTCTTCATTTGAATTATAATTTGGCAACAATGTCATTTGGTGAGTATTTTTAACTTGTATAAAAAATTAGGGAAGATTACATATTTAAAAGAATAAGTTTAGCCTATTTCAAAAATAAGAAAACAAGTTTGAATTACCAAAATCAGATTTTTATTAAAATTTTTATTTATGAAATAACAAATTATTAAATATTTAATTTTAATATAATATAATTAACTCATCCCACCTTCNAAAATAAGAAAACAAGTTTGAAATTTCCAAAATCAGATTTTTATTAAAAAATTTTAAATTTTTATTTATGAAATAATAAATTATTAAATTAATTTATTATTAAATATTTAATTCTAATATAATATAATTAACTCATCCCACCTTCACCACCCCTACCGCTCCGGCGACTGTTCCAATCACCGCCCTACTCCAACGAACTTTTTGGCCACTTCCCGACGACTTCCCAACGAACTTTTCCGATGACTTTTCGATTCTGACAATTATTTATATTATTAATTAAATATTTATTTTATTAATTAAATATAATGGTATTACAATTATACAATTAATGGTCACATATACATAATTAATTGGTTACAGATTATTTTTGAGGTCACAAATCAAAAATATTATAAGTCACATTTTTTTTATTGGTCACAGATCAAAAATTTTGTAGGTCACAGATTATTTCGAGATCACAAATCAGGTCACATATTATTTTATTGGTCACAGATCAAAAAATTACAGGTCACAGTTATCTATCAGTCACATATTTTCAAATTTATTGGTCACAAATTAATTTTTAATCACAATTTTAAAGTCACAGTTAGA